ATACCCTATATTACAAGATGGAGCAAGGCATCTGTATTTGTGGGATCAGAAATATTTCATGAAGTTGAAGTCGATATTGGACATTGATGCATTGATACTATTTTAATAGTCAGCTTATTGGTTAACAATTTCCTCTACTATTATATTTAATACTTCTATATGCCAGCCAATAAAACAGCCTTATTTTATGCTGTCTCATTGAATTGAAAGGGTTGTAATCCTCAGCACAGGTTTTTCTGTGCAGAAGCAAGACTAGACTGTTCACACACCAACCGCACTCCCCACACTCCCAGTTAGACCCTACTCTCAAACCACCCCCCAGAAGAGGGGTCATCATTTTCCAGACATCTCCAAGTAAGGCTGCTCCTACTAAAGGACAGCCTTAAGAAATAGCTTGGGATGAGCTATTAGTAGCCAAACTTGTTACACACAGGATAGGAGCACTACCCTGCAAGTCGGATCTGAATGGGGCAGGATCAGCTCTAGTCATAGATGAAGTGTGGGGGCGGGCACAAAAGCAAAAGGGATCTCTGCTGACTTGTTCATAACCAGCTTTTTTGTGGGGGGGAGGGTACCAGGGGTTGAACTCAGGGGCACTCTGTCTCTGAGCTACACCCTCAGCCTTATTTTGTATTTTATTTAGAGACAGGATCTCACAGACTTGCTTCCCCTTCCTCGCTTTTGCTGAGACTTGCTCTGAATTCGCCATTCTCCTGCCTCAGCCTCCAAAGCCACCAGGATTATAGGCGTGCACCACCACACCCAGCTTCAAAATTAGTTTTGATCTGTCTCCCAAAGTCCCTAAATTCTCTTAACCACTCAGCCACATCACATATGTGGCAAAGGTATACGGTTTATCAGATCTTTTTCTCATTGAATTTTTCCCCAAACAGAATGAAACATCAACCCATTTTTACAAAAATGGAAATTAAGGCTTTGAGAATTAGCTTAAGGCCACAGGACCAAGACCTGGCTTTTTGGCTCTGATTATTTTTCTCTTCCTTTGTCAAACTAGGAATTGGGGGAAATGGAGCCGAGACCTTGATATCTGAGGAGCCCAGGCTACTTTGTTTATCAAACTACACTGTCAAGCAACTCAACTGAATGACATCTTAAGTCTGACTCCTGTCTCCTGTGGCTCACTGGGGAGCCTGCACTGGCCTTTCTCTCAAACTCAGGTCTCCTACGTGAACTTCTGCTAGCAGGAACATGTTCTATCAGCTCCCTGTGGCACTGAATCACAGCCACTATTTGCTCAAAGGGAACCTTGGCACCCCCATCTATCCGTCTCACATCCCAGATTCCCACAGTTCCCTTGACAACCCTGCCCTGCGGACAGACCCAGGACCCTGGAGAAGATTCCAGAGGTAACAAGAAAGGACCTTGTCATCACATGCAAACCCCTCTGTTATGGGCCAGGCTACATGAGCCTAGATTTGGTCATTACCAAACAGACTCCATCTTACCCTGAGACCCCACATCACGTAAAACTGCTTCTTCCCTGGGAAAGCCCTGCCTCTCTACCCATCAACAGTCGCTTAGCTTAGCATGTTTGGCAACACAAAATGGCAATTCTTATGCAATGTAAAATAGTTCTCTCTTTGGTTCCCATTTTTCTTGGACAATGTACCCTGTCAGAGATTGGTTTGTCTAGATGTTGGTAACCATTCTTTAACTTGGGCTCAACTAGGGACATTTTGACCCACTCGCTCTTCTGCTTATGATTTTAGATCTCATGACATTTGATTATGGTTTTGAATCATAGCGACAGCCACTTATGATTAATATGGTTTGGGACTATAAAAGATATACTCTGACCCCAGGAGGGGGTCAAAGGGTGAAGACTTGGCTGTCAGTTGGTGGATCCAGACCCCCGGCTGGTGAATAAAGTTTCCGTCTCCTGCTCTAAGATGGACTTGGTGATTTATTGCAATCTCGCCATAACACTTCCATGTCTGAATTTGACTTTTCTCCTCTGTAAAATGAGTGCACCATATCCTACTCATCAGAGGTGTTATGTGAGTTAGGAGCAACACATTTAAAATACCAAGTACATAGCAGGTGTGTAATAAATGATAGTTATTTTTATGCAACACACCTGCACAGGAGCCAAAGATACACGGGTGCATGATAAATAATCTTCCAACACCTCAGCCTTTGGAAAGCAGCTGTTGAGGCCACAAGTGCCTGATAGGTAGTGGCTGCTCAGGGGATATAACGGATTCCCACTTGGCATGCCGGCTGGATAAGCCTCTCCCTGCACCCTCCCACCTTTTCCTCTCCCCACTGTTGATTCCTCAAGCTGTCCTTATCCCCAAATCCAGTTCAGATGACAAGATTGCTTCCCATCTTTCTGACCCCACAGACATTCCTCCCCAAAGCCTTCCTATAAAAGGGCAGGGGCTTCGAGGCCCACGAGTAACTCTAGGTCATAGCTCTACCATGTGCCCTTTGGGGACATTCTTCATTTCTTACTATTTCTGAGAAGCACTGGTGGAGCAGTACCTGCCTTGTCTCACCTCTGTGATCCTCCACGCCCACATATCCCATCACTGGACCCGTCTTTCCTTGGAGCAGGCAATATTCCTTTCCTTCCAGAAACATGATTTGCAGGCAGGACCCTTTCTTATAGCTCTTCTTACTCCCCTGTTTTAATGGGGCTCGTGGATTCCTTCCAGGGATGTGGCTGAATTATCATGCGTGCATTGCACTGCCCTGTCTGTACACAGCTCAGTGACATTTTTCTTGCCCTCCTGGCTTCCTTTTCCTCTTAATAAAACCCAAAATAGTTAGTGACAATTAATTCTGTTATGCTTCTTTTTTTTTTTTATATCCACGCTTGGTTCATAATAGGGGCTCAAAAGAAAAATACAATTTTAATGAGTGGTGGTGACCTCTGACCCCACCCCAGAGGCAACAGGCCTGTGCTGCCCTCACCCCCTTTCAGCAGACAACAGTCTACAGGATAGGGGAGGCAGCTGTGCTCAATGCCACATCTCTTTTCCCCCAAACTAGCCAATTTGCAGCCTGAGAGCGGTGCTAACAGAATTGCAGCACTCTCTGATTCCTGGAGGAAGGATGAGGCAAGCACTGTCCTGAGCCAGGAACACAAGTACCATGAATCTTTCCAATCTCGAGCTGAGCCTTTGTTCAGCTGGTCTCTGGAAGGAGCCTTCATGAAAGCCTCCAGACTGCCCATGGGCTTTGGTAGAGGCAGGAACCTCACTCCCTCCAGTTGGCAACTGGCTCTGTTAACAGAATTGATATTAGGCAGGCTCAGGAGGAACCAACTGTCATTTGGCTTCTGAGACTTTGCATTTTGGACCTACCAGAATAGGCCTGGGTCTACTGTGGTATCCTCTGAATGTGACAGTGCTCATATGAGATGGAAACACCTGGGGTCTGAAGTTTGGGTTTCTTATTCCTGTTCCTTCCCCACGATTAGCAGGTTGAATCAAAAGTGGATAGAGCTGCTACTGGGAACCTCGACCCCTTGCTCATGATAGACATGCACGAACAGTCTCTTAGTTAAGACTCTACCTCCAGGCCAGAAGTTTCACCACTTTACACTGGGTCACTCCTGCTTTCCACTACGCCAGGTCTAGCAGCTTGTTCATGTCCCTAGTTGTGGTTCTGTCTTCTTCTATTCCTGGCTGTGACAGTCCAGGCTTCAATCACACCATCCTCCCTAGGAAATGGGTATCTGTGGGTGGTGTGCAAAGACCATCCTCTTCAGAATCAGAGATTCTCAGGGGAGAGTTTTCTCCCAGTCACTACTGTCCTGGATAGCCTTGGGAGCTTGATTTCACCTTTTTTGGCCCACTCATTTCTTTAGTTCTTAAATGAATGTGATCAAAGCAAAATCCATCAATGCGTTACAGAGGAAAGTACTCTGGGTATTGCTTCATACAAGTCCATGGGAAGTTCTGCTACAAATATTCCTATTACTCCCTCTGGGGAGATGGTATTTTAATGGCAGCCTTAATGGGTTCTGAAGAGGAAGGCTCTCTTTCTGCAGCCTGTGCACGGCCTGGGGTGGAGCATGGGCCATGCTAAGGTCAGGTCAGGCAGGAGCTGCTGAAACACAACCAGGATGACTCACTTCCCCGATAAGGCTGCTGAGAAAAATGCAGGCTCCTTCTTGCCCTTCCTCTAGCAGGGGCACACCTCTCAGGGCGGAAGGCTTTTGGCACCAGAAAAAAAAAAAAATGTCAGGTCAAGTCAGGAAGAGCTAACCATCTCTGAATCTGAGCTTTTCCTCTTGAGCTTATAAACAGTAGGTATTAATAAATACATACATAAATAAACAACCTATACTTTAGCTGTAACTGAACTCCAAGCCCTGGCTTATAATCAATGTGACCCTGGCCACATTCCTCATGTTCTTGAGACTATTCCCTCCTTTTGAACTTGCCATAATAATTCCCTCATCTTGAAGGTACTTTGGGAAGATTCTCTGAGTTTTGGGTACAGTGATTGATTAATAAATGCCTATTTTTCTTCTTTTCCTTAAGAATAAACCATGTCCCAGAAAGGAATTTATTTTGCTTGTCTTTTCTCTCTTCATCTAATGAATATGTTTCCAAATTCATAAGAAAAAATATTCAACCTATTTGACTGTAAAAATCTGGCTGATTGAGGAGGGCATGAGAAATCTAAGGGTCTGAGCAGGCTCCCCACCCCAGCAGCATGCCTATTCAGGGGACAGAAGTGAAACTCACTCTGGAAGCAGGTGTGGGGGCTTCCTCATGTCTGTCCCCCAAAATGTACTCTTTCACTTCTCAACTTCAACCCGTGGTGGTTTAAACTTTCTTTCACATTCAGAACTCCATATCTGGAGGTGATTTTAGAACATGCCCATATTTAGGTCTCAGTGTGCGGGATACATGTTCATAACTGCAAATTGATATTTTAGGAAATAGATAAATGCCCAGACTAAGGCAAAGGCTATACCTTTAGTCAGATTTTCACAGAATCTACAGAATGGAGACAGACACAGATTTGACAATTTTGTTTTCTATTCCAAGTAGCTTTCTGGAGGTCAGTTGCCACCCGGGGCCAAGTACACAGCCCCAAGACCATTTTGAAAGCCAAGGATTTAATCCTGTTTATTGTAGGTTTTGCCCAATGATGAGATCAGAAATATGTGCAAACACCCTTTGAGGCAAAGCTGGATGATAGGGATCTTCTTGCCAGTTATTTCCCTGCTTCTCCATCCTTAATATCACCTTATCCACTTTGTACATAGGGTTAAAATTCACATTCAGGCTGATGTTGGGAGTGGGTAAAAGTGCCAACTCCAAAAATAATAGGGAATCTCAGTGAAGATACATCTTACAATGCAAGTAGGAAAAAAAAATAAAGCTGATGACCACAGTGAAACATTAAAAATTAAAAGAACCAAACAGAAAGGAGAAGAGGGAAAAAGGACCATAATAGCCATGAAGACATTTTTTTTTCCAAGTAACAGAAGAATATAGATTCTGCAATGAATGCAACACAGATAAAACTGTTCTGAGTTGGGGGCAAGTTAATTATATTCAAGAAAAGACATCATTTCCAGAAAAATCTATTTTTTTTTCAGTGAAATAGTTTAGTTCCTTCATATAGAGACATATTACACAATGTTAACAACCATGAAAAACAATACAAAATGCCCTCCATTTAACAAGTAGAAAAATATAACTAGTATATATGGCAATTGTGAATCTAATACTGTACAGAAGTGATTTATGGATTTTTACAAATAAATTATAGCTTAAATGCCCTTTTAAAACTCTTTTTCCCTCTAGATGTACAACCAGAAGTTACAATTGGAAAGGCTCTGAGCCTAGCTTAATGCAAATCAGTGCCAGTCAAATGTCCTGCCCACCAGCTCGAAGAATTTCTTATTTGGCTCGTGGAAATATTCATGCAGTTTGTTGAGTAGTTTGGGGTCGACCTGGGGGTGAGCCCGGCCTTTGGACTCATGTAAGCAGCGGTCCCGGCCACTGTCCCTCAGACAGTAAAAGCCCTTGGTTTTGTTAAAGTAGAAGTTCGAGGCGTTGATCTGGGGCGACAGCTTCAGGAACCTCTCGACCTTCTGGATCTCGGGGAAGGGGTTCCTGATGAGGCGGTCGCCGTCCACGATGTGGATGTGGCGCAGCGGGAAGAAGCGCAGCCAGTTCTGCATGTGCACGTGGTAGAGGCTGCGGTTGAGCGCCTTGTAGTCCACGTTGAGCCGGCCGTCGCGCAGCAGGAACTCCTCGATGGACGGGTAGGGCTTGCGCTTCTGCATGTGGTTGTAGAACACTTGGGTGTAGTCTGACAGCACGCGCTCCGACGGGTCTCGCAGGATGAGCAGCAGCCGGATGGAGGGGTTCATGCTGTGGACTCTCTCAGGCACTTTGGGCGACGTGAAGTAGGCGGGGGTCTTTTCCACCGTGAGCTGGTGCGGGAAGGAGAAGGGCATCTGGCTGAGGTACCAGCCCAGGCCGTGGCTGTAATGCTCCTCCCAGTCGAAGAAGTGCACCTCGTTCTCTGCGGCTGCCACGTCGGGGTGCAGGCTGAGCATCTCCAGCAGTGCGCGGGTGCCGCCCTTACGCACTCCGATGATGATGGTCTGCGGTAGCTGCTGGGCAGAGCCGTTGGTGGCCCCGCTGTCTTGCATGTCATCCCCGAGGGTGCCTGCTTTCCGCAGGAGCTCCTGCTGACTGGGCTCCATCCCGGAGGCGGCAGGGCGGGAAGGCACCAGCTGGGGCTGTGTCACCAGCAGCACCGCGCCCAGTAGTAGCGCGGCCATGCTGGACACCACGGTGGCTTCACTGGGCCCCGCACCGCTGGGTCATGAAGCTCTCAGCAGGGAATGCCTCCTAGTCAGTGGTGCATGAGCGTCCCAGGCTGCCAATTACTAAGGAGGAAAGGGAAAATATTAACCCCCAATAAACACAGGAATAATCCAGGTGACAACTGTAGACCTGGGTGCTATATCCACCTCCCCAGGACTGACTCTCTTTCTGTATCCTGTAAAGCAGGGGGTGGCAGACATTCTCAGTAAAAGCCTAGAGAGTAAATATTTTCGGCTCTGGAGGACATATGGTCTCTAAGGCAACTCCAGTTCCAACTGTGCTGTTACCCATCTAAAGCAACAAAAGAATAGACAAAGGAATGGGTGTGGATGGACTCCAACCAAACTTTCTCTATGGATGCTGAAATTCCAATATTAAATATTATTCATATTACTATTATTCTCTTTTATTTGTTTTCTTTTTGCAACCACTTACATGTTTGGCTTGCTAGCCCCACCCAAACAGGACCAGACTTGCCCCCACCAGCCATAATTTGCCAACTTCTGATATAAAGAAAAGAGTTGGAAAAATTCTTTGGACTTCAGCAAACGTCAGTGAAATATCTAGCACCTGGCAGCCCCTCCTGGCACAGGGGCAGATGGTGCAGAAGCAGTCTTTGTTTCTGCATCCCACCTCCCCAGTAAGGGGCTCCTAATTTAATAGGGCAGATGAACCCATGTCCAAGACTGAGTCCCAGCTCTTCCCCCAGCACCCAGTCATTGCCATGGCCTCTTTGTGGAGCAGGGTGCTTCTCAGCAACTTGATTCTGGCTTGATTCACGTGGTACCATGTGAACAGACAATGACAACACCCAGACCAAACCCTTTCTCAAGAGCTTTGCATCCAGCATTTGTGCCATCACCATGAGAAGAATGTGATCTGGCCAGCTGCTGATCTCAGGGGGAAGGTGAGAGATTCATGCACCAGAGTGGCCCCGCAAGTCCACTATGTACAGCACAACTGTCCTGGTTCCCGAGAGAGAATATGTGATTGTGGTTTTGAATCACGGAGTCTGGGCTGGTTTGCTTTGCGGATGAATCTGTCAAATGATAACAGGTGCAACCTGACTCCAGGCAGCAGGGTGCTGTATGTTATGATGGGAGTTCTGTGGGGTTCTGTGAGGACACCTGTTCTTTCATTTGCCTGAAACAACTGGGAAAGTCTGCAGAGAAAAGGAAATGTTTGAAGTAGGCCCAGAGGGATTAAAAAGGTGAGGCTACCAGAAAGAGCAAACGGCCTTCTTGTGTACCAGGCTTTACAATACATAAAGTGGCTCACGGTTGTCTCAGATGATTGTCATCACAACACTCCAGTGTAAGAGAGGAAACCAGGAAAACTGTCACCACCACTGCGTAGATACAAGGCCTGTCTAAGGACACACATATTTCACCTTTTTCAAAATTCAGAGCCTAAATTCAAAACCCTAATGCAGGGTTCTCTTTCCACCAACTGCCTCCCCTCTGCCAAATGTCTCCTATGTTGGGATTTATCACATTCAGACAATAAAGTCCCTTAAGGTCACAGAGACTGTGGGGCTAGAAGCTAAGGGCCCCAAACGTGGACAAGCGTCAAGGGTTGATGCTTTCTATACAACAACCTGTGTGTGAACTCTCCCCAAAGGGAGATTGGAAGCTTTCATATAAGTTATTCCTGTTTAAACACATTAAGGGAAGAGTTGGAGGCAGGCCCAGCAAGGGGATTGTAGGGTTTAGAAAGCCAGGAAAACTCTTCTGCACCAAGAGGATTCCTCAGGTTTAAAACTCACTTCATTGGTTTAAAACATTATTAGACTGTATAAACAAAGGACAAATCCAGGGCTTCCATTTGGATGATCAAGCCAGTTGATGTATCTGTCTCAGGTACAGGGTTATAGGCTTTGGAAAACATATTGAAAGTGAGCAATGACTAGTTGGACACAGAGAACATGGGAGTAGGGATCATCAGCCACAAAATTCTTTAGGGGAAATAGTCTCTAGGGAGGCCTAACAAAACAGCAGGTGTTTCTAGTTTGGTTCAGCTACTGGGATGAGCTGCATGCAACATGCAACGGGTCCTTTGCTTTACTCAGCTGAAAGTCTCAGACTGTTTCGAATTTCACTTCCTTCTCAATGCTCATGTGGGTCAACCAAACGGACCAGTTGTGTTTGCTCTTTACATGTTTGGGGGTGTGTATGTATACCTGTGTCTGTGGGCATGTGTGCTGGGGTGTGTGTGTGTGTGTGTGTGTGTGTGTGTGTGTGCTTGTGTGCACTGGCAATTGGTGGGAGAGGGCGAAGTGAGGGAGGCAGTAGCTCCTATGCGCTAGAGAGCAGCCTCTGTGTAGTAGGTCCTGCTGGCCCCTCTCTTAGTTCTGCATCCAGACTCAGGAAGCAATGGGATGCGAATTATTCAACACCTATGGGACAGAGGCAGCAGCCAGAGCTGAAATTTATATTATCTGACTCTATATCGGTGCTCTTTCCACGCTAACACCAGGCATTCTGGTCAGCAGAGTGTGCATCTGGGATTTCTCCCTAAAGGGGAATTGCCAGCAGACAGCAGAGAAGAAACTAAATATAGTTTGTCCTTTATTAAAAAAAAAAAAAAAGAAAAAACTGGGCAGTTAGTAGTTTAAAATTTCCTGGTTTCTGCTTTAACGCTTTCCAAAAATGAATTTACTTATGTCTAGTTGTTTTTCATTCCAAAAATATTTGAGGTGTGTGGGAAAAAATTCAGCTAATGTCCTATATATGTACATGAAATAGATGTAAACATGTACACACACATATACAGGGCTCTCGACACAGCTATAGATACATGTTTAATAGGTCTTTGATGTGTGTATAAAACTGTATGTGTATGCACGTCTAAATATAACATATATTCATTAATACATATAACATATTAACATATGTAATGTAGTAAATATGCATAAACAGTAGCCACTGGGAGTTAATTTCTTGTCATGGTTTGTCACTTCCTAGTGACACACACAGAATTTCCGGGCCTTTTCATGACATTCTCAGGCCAGGAAAGATCTTCGGGTTCAGGTGAGCTGATAAGCCCATATCTAGGCCATTTGGACCTTGACATGGGATTTCAAACCTCAAAGCAGAAAACAGTCCTTAGTCCTTGCTTTTCATTTCATTGTTGAGGAGGCCCCGAGGTGACTTGCCCACAGTCACGGAGACTCTCTGGGCCTAGAACTTTTGGGTCCTGAACTCTAACCCTGTAGTTTGGAGGCCACTGTCTCCCAAGAAAATGGTCTTAAGGTAAAATGATGACAGCGTTTTGGGGGTCCTAAAGAAGAAAAGCCCATTTCCACGTACCCAGCAGTGACAATGCCTCAGCCACCAACACCCTGGGTACATGCATCAGGTGTTGAACACATCCATTTGTTCTTTTCAGTAGAGGGGTCTGAGGGAAGCACACAGGCTGTGCAGTCAGAGTCCTGGCTCTAGTTTTGATTTTAGTGAAAGCAACTTAGCCTCTCTCAGTTTCTTCATCTTTTAAATGATAACATTTCCACCACCCTCCAATTATTACTCTATCTAAGGGTGAAATAAGATAAAATGTACTAGGGCTGTCCAACAAAAATATAGTGTGAGCTACATCTGCACTTGTAAATTTTCAAAGAGCCACATCAAAAGCCAACTAATGTATTTTTGGTAACCCAATATATCCAAATGCCATTGCTCTGACATACAAGCTCTATAAACAATGAAGAAGCTGTTATGCATCCTTTGGTACTAAGCCTTGAACACCAAGTGTGTGTATCTCTCCCCTCACTGCTCACCCCAGGTCCACATGACATGCAGCAACTGAGGTGCAGGGCACAGAGGGCAGTGGGCACAGCCGTGCTCTTCATCTGAAAGCTCTCTCATCATAGTGAGATGCTCTCCCCTCTCACAGAGGAGGAGCTCTTGAGCAGAACAAGGACCAAGAAAGTGAATGTGCACTTGCAAAGAGCAGAGATCCATGTACTATTCCCCCACAAGGAATGAGCCAGGTAATACTGAACACCAGCCACTTCTGAAATTTGGGAGACCATAGCTGCTAAGGGCTTGGAGACAGAGTGCTCCACGGCACCTGGAGTAGGAGCCCAGTCCCTTGGCAACTGCAAGGACCACATCTCCCATCTGAGCATTTGCATTAGGCAGGCCCTGGGCTGGCAGCTCAGCACACCACTATCTTTCTGCTCACCTCACCATGATCCCTCAAGGACAAAATCTTAGGGTCAAAACCAAGGCTCAGAGGAATGAAGTGGTCTGTGGAGGAAGCAAGAGGCAGAACTAGGGATCAAACTCAGCATGAGAAGGCACAGTGGAGCCTTGCTCCTTGGCGAGGCCTGGGGTTAGTCACCCCTGGGTTTGATTCTCCACCAAGAACCAGGGCATCTGCTTTCTGGTCACTGGGCCTCTTGGTTTTCCTTCAGTCCTCTTGAACATCTGCACCTGGCACCAATTCTTGGCTGAAGGGCAGGGTTTCTTTGAAGAGCCAGCCTGGCTAGCATGGGCAAAGGGAACCCTCCTTCCTTTTGCAGAGGGACAATAGGTCCCAAAGGGAGGTCTGGCCACCTTTTCTGTTTACTTCCCTTATCAGGGAGGTTGCTTTCTGGGTGTTGCAGTGACAAGCCAGTCCCTGAGTTTCAAGACTTCAAAAGCCCCAAGTCCTCTCCATGAGCAGCACAAGAAGATCTTGACTGTGAAGATACTGACCACACACCAGGCAGAGGACCACAGCAGTTTCCAGAGGGAGGCTTCCCTTGCCCTTGGAATTCGTTCCAACTTCTTTCCTAGGTTGGAGACGGCTAAAATGGGACCAGACTGCCCCGCAGGCCTCAATGTGGTCCTACAGCCAAGCTCCAGCCCAGGGCACCTCTCTGTCCCTATGAGCCCACCAACTGTGGCCATGGAATCTTCTGCTCCCTTGGCTTTCTGAGGCTGGCTCTTTCTTGTCATTTGGATTTTATTTCAAACACCAGCTTTCCCTGCAAGCATGAGCCCACCTCTCTCTTTTAATCACTTCCTGTCACATCATCCCACATTCTAGTCCTCATATACACATTGCTTGGGGACTGCCT